TTACCTTCTTTTATGCAAGATTAAAAAAAATCCTGTGTATCTTTTCTACTTAAAACACATCTCAATTTGGAGTAGCCATATTCCAAGTGTTCAACAGCCATATAGGGCTAGTGGCTTCCATGTTGTAAAGTTTAGGTCATGCTGTGCCTTTGCACTCAGTCATTCAGCTAGGAAGTTGGTATATTTAATAGTTTTGCTTAGTAATTTGGACCTTTGTACACTCTGCCCTTCTCACTCCATTGACTTGCCCCAAAGTATTAAGTGCAGAATTCTGACACCCAGCTGGGGCTTAGCATTTGCCTGGTATCTTAGTTTGGGCTGCTGTCACAAAATGCCATAGATTGGGTGGCTTATTAATAACACAAATTTATTTCAGATAGTTCTGGGACATGGAATTCTGAGATCAGGGTGTCGACATGGTCAAGTTCTAGTGAGGGGCTTCTTCCAGGCTACAGACTGTCAGCTTTTCCTCACATGGAGGAAATAGGACTAAAAGCTCTCTGGCATTCCTTTCATAAGGGCACCAATTCCCTTATGAGGGCCCCACTCTCATGAGCTAATCATGTTCCAAAGGCCCTGCCTCCTGATACCATCACTTAGGGCTAAAGATTTCAGCCTTGAATTTTGGGGGAACAAACATTCAGTCCGTAACACAGAGTTTGAGAATATTTGGGCAGGAAAGAAACAGCATCAGAAAAATAGAGGGTATGACTAAATTTGAAAATGCTGAAAATAGTTGCAGTGGTCCTATTTAAAATTTTCAGGTGACAGTGTCCTATAGGTGCAGGAAGAGTTTGCCTCTTTCTCATGGTGAGAGGTGTAGGGGGTTAGACACATGTAACTAACTATGGAGGAAACAGGTGTCACTGAGAACCCAGGTGCTGTAACTCAGGTGTTTGGATGGGAGGCAGGCAGAGGCTTCCCATCCTACTGGGGCAGAGGAACAATGGAGGATGCTCTTTGCCTCTGGCTTCAGAAACCAGCTCACCTGGCCTTGGAGGAACCCATGGGTGATTTACAATATCCCAGAGGTATGGGATATGAAAAACCCAGGTAGTGATGTTGGGATGAAGTGAAGGTTTGCCTCAATGCTTAGTCAGGAGATGGCAAGAGGAATTTAGAGGGAAGTCTGGTTCTAGGTCTCTGGGCAGTTTCCATCCAGTGGGGTTCAGAGATAAACCTGAAGTTTGTTGTCTCCTGAGTCCATTCATCCCTTGTGATGGTGGTGGGGAAATACTTTTGGGCACTGTTATGGCTCCTTAGTCCAAACTTTCTCTGTGGAGGGTATAAAGCTTCTCTTTCCACCCTCATTAGTATATGCTACCTTTCAACACTTGGGTTCTTGTAGCCTTTCTGTATTCGCATATAAGTTTGCACTGGTTTCCATTAGTTGCCATTTTTGCTAGTTTGGTTCTGCATTTTGTCAACAGGAATGATTTTGCTGCAGACTGAAAATATAGGTATTTGGCTGAAAATTCTGTAATTGGGGGTTTTAGTCTTCTAAACCACAATAATTTGGCTAAATTTGGGTAGTTCCTGATATGGGATGTGCTTAGGGAGTGAGAATGTTGATTTGGGGTTCAAGTCAGGCTGAAGAATAACCTTGAGAACTTGAGTCCAAGTATAAGTTACTATGGCTATAGAGATTGTAGGCACAGGGTCATAATTATTGTAGGTACAAGGGCATAATCATGACCCTGGAGAATTTGGGTTGCCTGTGTTCTTTTACTTACATAATTTCTCCTGCTTAGAAATCACTCCCTTTTCTTTAACACTAATTTTAAGAATTTTCAATAATTATTTAAGAATTTCCTTCACAATTCTTGTTAATTCAATCTACTCATTCATGCATGCATTCATTTATTAACTATATTCCTCAGTGTACAAATGTTTATTGGACACCAAATGTCAGGCACTGGGCTAGGTACTAGAGATTCAAAACCAATGAAGCCATGGTTACCATCCCTAGGAAGCTCAGCACCTGGCAAATTCTTCACACTTCAACCCACCTTGGGTCACCGGAGTCTATCCAGTTATTTCTCAGTATTCATTTAACTGGTTTTATGTTCAATTTGTGTTTGTTCCTAGTATTTTCCCTGAAGTGACCAGGCATTTTCATTAGCAAAAATTATGCTTCCTCCTTTCCTTATCATCATAGGGCCTGATATTCTGCACAGAGTAAGCTCTAATACACATTGTTAACAGAGGGACCACTTTTCAGGGTAAATAAATGAGGTCAGCTGATTATTACCTTTGCACACGATTACTGATATTGCTAAGAAATTTGAGGGTTTTTGACAATGTAGTCAATTGCCATGAAAAGCTTCTATTTTGAATCTGTAGACTAAACACAGCCTCTGTTGCCCCTGCATACACCAGATACCCCATAGACACCCTCTTGCGAAAGTACAGCAGTATGTTTGACTTTTAATGACAGGAGGATTAATTTAAAGTTAGATCTACACGGATGTCTTCCTTGTGTGTTGCAACCGTTCAAGAAGTACAGTTTGGGGAGGTCCTCTAATGAAGGGCATAAATAGTAACTTTCTTTCGAACTGTCAGTGAAGGTTGCTGTATTACTTAAGAGAATTTCAGTGACCCCTTACTCTAGAAGGAGCCCAGGGTAGAACACAGTTTTACAAATAATACACTTTGCTTTGCAGCTCTGATAATTTTTTTCTGTCTTTGAGTCTGTCACATAACCAGGAGGCTGCTTGTTTCTTAGGACAAAGGTATTTGCAGGGAAACTGATCAAACCATTATTATTAATAATCTCACGACTGAGGCATCACCAAAGCTTTTGTGCATTTGAGGGTAGCAAATAAATTAAAGTTTTATTCTGGAGACTCTGGAGGCATACGAGAACAAAGAAGCTTATAAGCACAGTGGGTGGTGGTTCTTTCCTGGCTAAGGCACATTTGTGCTTGGGAGAACTGCTGTCCCATTTCTGCAGCAATGCAACCCCATTGGTCAGGGACCTTCTGATGAATTGGTCATAGGAGCCCTTAAAGGTTATCTTGATAACAGGCTATACCATTGTTAATGAGATTTTCTTTCTGACAGGGCACCAACATGCTCCTTGAAAAAAGGTACAAGCAAGGCTCATTACAGCTGCACGCAGAGGCTACTAGCAAATGAGAACAGATTTGCCCTTTGCTTTGGTGGGAATTGGGAGGAAGAGGGGAATTGTGATGGGAGGTAGAGATACACTCTCTGCCTTATGTCCATATTCATAGCATTCAATCTTAGAATATCTTAGAATAATGGATTCAGTCTCCCAGTTTTCATTCTCATACATGCTGTACACATTCCCTGCCTTGAACTGGGCATCTAAGTGGTTAGAACATTTAACCAAACAGGCCAAGGCTGAATTTCTTCCCACAGAGAACAATGAACTTTACAGCCCACATTTCTCCCTATCTGTTCTTCTTCACTCTCTATTCATCCATTTATGGTTTTCCTGTTCCCCCATTTCCCCCTTCCCCACCACCCCGGTATCCGAATAGTGTATCAGGGTTTTAAGACTGTGTTTCTCACATTTGCAGCGTGTTTATTCTGAGAGTTTGTGTGGAGCTCCTGGGGAGGGGTGGGGTGGGAACAGAGTGAGGCATGAACCTTCTCTCTTTGTTTTGCACCCAACAATCTTACATATTGATCTAGTCTTTAGGAGATTAAACAAAAAATGAAAAAGTTGACATTTCTATGGCATGTCAAAGCTTATAAACAACTTCCAAAACAATATTTCATTTAATTCCAATAATATAGGAATTGTCACAACCATAGAGGGGCTAAGTGACATGCCCAAGGCCAAGGCAACCATCTCATTGTGACAAAGCTTTTTCTTTTCTTTTTTTTTTTTTGAGACAGACTTACTCTGTCACTCAGGCTGGAGTGCAGTGGTATGAGCATGGCTCACCATAGCCTCAACCTCCTGGGCTCAGGTGATCCTCCCACCTTCTGAGTAGCTGGGACTACAGATGCATACCACCACACTTGGCTACTTTTTTCGTTTTTTATAGAGACAGGGTCCCAGCATGTTGCCCAGGCTTGTCTTGAACTCTTGAGCTCAAGCCATCCTCCCACCTTGGCCTCCCAAGGTGCTGGGATTACCGGTGTGAGCCAGCATCCCCAGCTCTGAGCTGGGTCTTAATATTTAAACCAACACCTGTGTCATTCTCCAGGGAAGAAGGCAGAAGTCACGAAGGTATGTGAAATGTTGAGCGAGGCAAATGGATCCTGAAGCCCAGGGTCAGGGCTGCTGGGCAAGAGAAAATGCATCCTATTTCTCAGTTTTATGAAGAATAAGCTTGAGATCTTGAATGCCTCGCTGGTTCAGAAGAAGTTCAGGGGCAACGGAGATCAGACAAAGTTTTCTGGAGAGAAAACTGCTCCTGGGGGCCTCCTTGACTGGGTTTGGTGCAGCACCCTGGCCTGGGAGAGCGGGCACTGGGTCATCAGGATCCCTTTGTTTGGGTTTTTTCTCTCTCCTGCATGAAGCATACAGTGGTGAGTGCTTGATAGGGCTGAGTCCTACCTGGTTTGCCAGGGAACAAAACATTACTGGTCTTTCCTTTAGAGGGGGGTTGTTAGATAGCTTTGCCCAGAAACAGTCACTGTAAGGGCCAGGTCAACGACAACTTGGGCAGTAGGAACTGAAGAGGGAGGCACAGTAACTCCTGGAGGAGAGCCACAGTCTCTAAGGTGAGTTTGCTGTCTCTGGAAGGTAGCATTCAGTAAACTGGGGGAGAACACTAGAAGCACTGCAAGGCAAAGGACGGAGGGTCGCTTTTCTCCCTGGAGCCTCCACGCTCTGTCTCATCCACAAAGGCTACTTTGATCTCATCTCTTTCAAGGAAGTACCAAGTGGAAAACCATATATTGGGCTTTACAAAGCACATTTGAGTTAATATTTGGCAGGGGATATCTGGATCTAAGGGCAGCTCACAGAGTGGGCCTCAGTGACAAGGTGTGGGCCATGACTCAGATTCCTGGGTGTCCTGACCCTCCTGGGGCAGGTTATGTGTTCCCTGGCCACTTCCTCTTTTCCTACATGCTGGCTGTGGGGAAATCCCTGCTGGGCCCTATAAGAAGCCGCTGGGCTCTGTGCAGAGCCAGAGGCTCCAGCTAAGAGGACAAGATGAGGCCCAGCCTCTCATTTCTCCTAGCCCTTCTGTTCTTCCTTGGCCAGGCTGCAGGGGATTTGTGGGATGTGGGACCCCCACTCCCTAGCTCCAGCACCAGCTTCTTCCCAGGCGTTGATTCCAGCTCCAGCTACTCGAGCGGCCGCAGCTCAGATGGCAGAGGTTCTGTGTCCCAGGTGAGGAGGCCCCAGATTCTGAATGAGCTGCATTCATTTCCTGCCTCTTGCTTTTGGGGACCTGAATACAATTTCATGCATGGCTAGACCTGGGCACTCTAAAAGATTTACAACTCATTTTGTTAACTATAGGTGCCCTGGAAATGAATTAAAGCGCCAGTAAAATAATTAAATTGTTAGCAAGAGAGAGGACATCTCAGTTCTGTAGCTGGGACTTTTGAGAAAATCTATGCTTTAGCGGAGTTCTCAAATCTGGCTGCACGTTGGGAGGAGTGGCCAGGGCAACTCTAAAAGTACAGATGCCTGGGTTCTACACTTAAAAATATCCTGCATAGATGTGTAGAAATCAGATACTTTAAAAAACCTCTCCCCAAGTTATTCTAATATACAGTCCAGGATGGGAACTGTTGGGAAAGGACTCTGTTAGTTGCAGCTCTGGGAAAGTTTGTCCAATTGATTTGCTGCCTGGCAGGGTCCCAGGATGGTGAGGATTAGTCCTCAAGGGAGTGAAAGCTGCAGTGCTCCGGTTGAAACCCTGATCATTTCTCTTGGCCTGGTTTGTAAAGGAGATGGGTGTCAGAAATAAGGGGAGGAGTTATTGGTCTTTAGCAAAGTGTTACTACTAGTAGACATTTCCCTAGGGGAGTGTTCATTCCTTGCAATCTTCTTTATAGGGAATCTTCAGGGCCATTTTCACCTCCAAACAACAGCAGCAACAGACAAACAAAACCAAAAGTCAGGCATTACAAATAGACTGGTACAGCTAGGCTAAGTGCATAGATGGCATAGTGAGCCCAGTTCCTTGGGGGATGAGTCCTCTTTGGATCTCCTTTAAAGAAAGGAGAATAGGCTGGAGGGCATGAGAGGTTAGCAGGTAAGAAGCAGTTATTCATTTCACTTTGGGCCTTTCGGAGGGAACCCCATGCTGCAGAACTGCCTAGGCTATCCTTACTAAGGTGTAACTTGGAGTTGGGGAGTCTTCTGGGCCAAAGCTCCTCTCTCTGCACTTCTAGGATCTTGACTCAGAGGTCAGGTAGCTGCTTACATGCTCATGTCTGAATGGAAGGGCAAATGGGAGAAGGAGGAGGAAAAGGCTTTTGTTTGTTTTCATTTTGACCATCAGAATATACAGATATTAAAAATTTGGTAATTAACAAATGGTTTGGATAAGGCCTAAATGGAAACAGCAGCAATAACATTTACTGTGTATTGAATGAATGCCAGGACTAGGTTAAGTATATAATATGTATTATCTTACTTAACTTTAAGAGGTAGGTAAAATTAATAGTCCCATTTTAGAGATGTGAAAACTGAGGCTTAGCAAGGTGAAGTCATTGGCTTTAAGTCACTAAGCTAACAAGATATATAGCTCAAAATTAGTCTGTCCATTCTCTTCACCATGTCTCTACATGCAGGTTTCTACATTTCCAGATGAAAATGAATTATTTTTAAGAGGAGGGAGGCTTGGGAATCATAAGTAGGCACAGGAATTCTTTGCAATCAGAAATCAGATATATAATTTTATTCTATGATACTCAGTGATTTCTGAGGATAATCAGAACTGGCTAGCACTTTTTTTTTGGACTGAGGTTAACAATAATAATTTATTATGAAGCTCCATCACCAGTCAGAAACCAGCATTTGGGTAAGATTGTCAGCTATAATAATAGAAAATAAAATATAGATCAAAAGGCAGAGAAATCCAGAATGCCTATTGTCTGGTAAAAAGACAAATATTTAAAAGTGGATGAGATATGGTAGTTAAATTGTACTTAGAGATTTTAATTTCCTTTTTGCTTATCTCTCCCTGGTGAGTCAGTATTACAATTCCAATTTTTTTTATAGTGCACTAGGAGTCAATTTCACTATAAACCTAATTTTTTGGGGCTGGCTGTCAGCTTGATGAGCTCTTTGGAGGTGGTGGAAAACCCTTTTATAACTGTCATTGAGTAAGTTCCAAACATATCATTTTCTGTACTTTGAAAATGTTGAGTACTATTATTTTATGCCTTGAATCTTTGCTGACACTTAGGCTTGGCGACTGATTAGAGCCAATAGCAACCTTAAATCACCTTAAATGTGAGTTGCACCTTCTGCTGTAAGCACTCAGAGTACTCTCTCTCCTTCTTAAGGAGGGGCCTCTGCAGGGTTCTCAATTCAGAAGACTAGGAAAAAGCTCAATGCTCTGCTTCATACAGTAACTGGTATAGTCGGAACTGTAATGAGTCACGTGTTTTGTTGTCAGGCCACCAGGCTGGTTGGAAAAACCCAGTAGGGCTTTCATAGTGACAGTGGGCCTGATTCCTGGGCAGGAACTGACTCCTCATCGTCTCCCTAAAGCCAGAGCCTGGCATAGTGTAGACATCAGTAAATGCTAATTGAACACATGCTTAGTGAAAACTTACCAGTATAAGGTGTCTTGTGGGGTACTCAGGGTTCTATTTGCCCTACACAAGGGGAATTGCATATTATTCCAAAGGCAAGGGGACAAGCACTCGTCTTTGTCTCCCATCCCCCATGCTTCATTCACGTAGAGTTTGAGCATTCACTGCAGAGAGAGACTCATCACCATTAGCTTCATTGTCTTTGAATGCAAGGCGCAGAAATATCTCTAATGGGAGACACTGATCAAACTTATGGACCATTATGATGTCAGCTGAGCATGCTGGGCTGATGATAAGCTGGATGGAGGCTGGGGGAGTCCACAGTGTTGGGACAGAGATGTTCAATAGAAACCGATGGAATGGCTGTCAGCAGGGCTCATAATTATTTGCCTGTCTTTCAAGTGAACTTCAGGACTAAAAGTTATTAGCTAGTGATTCCTGGTTGACTGTCTAGAGATTGCTTGATGATATCCACTGTTTCCTGAGTTGTCAGAGCTTTTCAGAGAACTCTGAGAATGGTCCAATCCTGTTTTGTGCAGCTAATTAAACTCCCCTTCTCAAAATGCAATGCAATATTTTTTTGCTAGACAATTATTATAATAAGCTGTTTCTTTAAAAGTCCATGATATGTCAGTTCTTTCTGTAAAAGCCTTGGCATGCTTGAGCTGGAGTCTTTCTATCTTTGGAGAAATGAATAAAGCTGGTTTCAAGGGAAGCCGGCCTCTCTGACAGGTTCCTGGTGTATCTTGCCCAGTCTTTATTCATCTCTGGCAGACTCTTCCCCTACCCAAGCCCTGCTGTCCATCCCCATGTTCAGCATAAATCTGCTTCTTTCTCATCCCTACTCCTGAACTTCTTCCCATGTAGGGATGTGATTGGAAAGAAAAATTGAGGCCAAGGTCATAAAATTTGACTATATACATATAGAGACTTTTGGATACACACACCTATATGTATTTTTTCTGCTCATCTGGAAACTTAAATTGAAAACAACTTAGGTGCAAAAGCCTTGATTGGCCCCAAGGCCACTGATAAAACAAGTCTCCATTATAATAGAAGCATCTAGACCCAGCTTGTTCAGGCATCATGGAGGTTGGTAGCCATTAAATGCACAGGACACATGACACCACCTGCAGCTGGCTGACCTGAACTTTGAGAGACATGGCCAGAGTCTCTTCAAGCTCTGAAGACCATTGCTATCTCCTTTGCGGTTTCATAAAAAGTTCCTTCAGGCTGATGTCCACAGGTGAGCTTTGGGTTGGCCTTCAGTTGAGATCATTAAAAGGCACAGCAAATTGGCTGCCAAGGGTTATTCTGTAAGGCAACAGTAGTAATAAAAAAATGTTAATTGTGCTGGGATCCTCTTGGGGAAGTTCAAAGGGGACAAAAGAAAAACAGAATCTTTCAAACCTGTCATTTAAAAATATGCAGTGGCACTGAAGTGTGAGTCTGAATATCTTAAAGAAACATCAAATATTTTAAAATGACTTTTTCTGCAAATGGTAAGCTGGAAAAAAACTTTCATTTAAAAAAATTTGCACAAAACCTTCAAGCTCATACACTATTCAGTTTCTAACAAATGGCTGCTTCCCATTTTGAAGGATGTTAATTATACAATTTCCCGGGCAATGAGAGGATATGAATTTGCATTGTATATTTTCACTGTAGCCCATATCCCTCCTTCTGATGAAAAGGAATTCGACTTGGGTTGGGGTAAAGGTGAGGAAGAGAAAATGAGCAGTAGAGGGAAAGAGAAAGTGACATTTACTGATCACCTACCCTGTGTCAGGGACTTGGCTCACATTACTCCGTTAATACTGAGGACAACCCTGTGAAGTAGGTTATCTCTATTATACAGATGAAGGAACTGAGAATTAAGGAGGTTTCACACCTAGCAAATGCTTGAATTGAAATTCGAACTTAGCACTCTCCTACCTTCTTTATTTCCCCTTCGTTGCATAGAGATAGGAATAATCTCCTTTAAGACTCAAGAATGGAGAATCTTTCCTTTGATAGTCTGCTGACATAGTGGTTTTCATACAGCCAGTGGCGATGTGGCTAAATGCTATGTGGTCCCCACCTGTGAAAACAAAGCTGTTCTAGCCTGTTTCTATGATTCTATTCATTTATGTATTGAACTCCACTTACTTGTCTGTAAGTGCTCTCGACAAGCCAATTTCTGTCACTTCAGTTGCCAGAAAGCTCAGATTCCAGCTTGTTACTGATGTTCAACTTGTTATTATTTACAGTTGTTTTCCAATGTCACCGGCTCTGTGGATGACCGTGGGACCTGCCAGTGCTCTGTTTCCCTGCCAGACACCACCTTTCCCGTGGACAGAGTGGAACGCTTGGAATTCACAGCTCATGTTCTTTCTGAGAAGTTTGAGAAAGAGCTTTCTAAAGTAAGTATTTTCCTTTTCTTGATAAGGACAAGCAAACAAAACAAAATGTGTTTTAATTTAGGATTTATAAGTAACCATTCTTCGCTGTGTCAAAGACATCACGTTTTTATTCTATGGGATTTTAGCATTTATTTTATAGGACACCAGTGGAGTTCTTATAGCAGGGAAAATAGGAGCACGGGAATAAAGTGGGGTTGAGACTGTTCATGCTGTAGATACCCTCACATAGTATTGTGGGTACTCATGCAGTTGGAAGGAAGCCTCGAGCTCTCCCTGCAAACCCCAATCTGCAATTTGTATTTTGTTTTAGTGATGCTGCTTTTTCTTGGTCTTCCAGATCTTACCTCAAGCTTTGCTTTCTTTTCTTTCTTCTCCTCTGTCCCCTTTAGTTGTATGCTATCTCCCTTCTCCTTCTCCTTTTCTTCTCCTTCCATTCCATTCCTGCATCCTTTAGTTTCTTATTTCTCTTGTATCAATCCTCCCCCTTGTTCATTCCTTCTAATCTATCTTTTCCTTTCCTGGTTAATTCTTTTTTTTTTTTTTGGGAAATTTTGGGTATTTTTTACTTTTAGATGATCCTTTTTTTCCTCCTTTTTTCCCTCTTCCTCTACTTCCACTCCTTCAAATCCTTTCCCTCTCATCCTCCTCCCCTCCCTCTCTTTTTTCTTCAACTCTTTATCTTTACAAATTGTTGTCTTCATCCTCTCTCTCCCTCTCTCTTTTTATTATTTTTGTGTGTGACAATAAGTTGTAGTCTCTTTTCTCTTTTCCCATTTTCTGCAAGTAAGACCCAAGGTTGTAGTCTTTATTTTTAATTTTTTAACTTTTTTGGTATCTAGTATCTGTATATGTTAATGTGGTACATGAAATGCCCTGAGACAGGCATGCAATACATAATAATCACATCATGGAAAATGGGGTGTCCATCCCCTCAAGCATTTATCCTTTGTGTTACAAACAATCCAATTCGACTCTTTTAGTTATTTTTAAATGTACAAATATTATTGACTGCAGTCACCCTGTTGTGCTGTTAAATACTAGGTCTTATTCATTCTTTCTAACTACTTTTCAGTTTTTACCTTTTAACCATCCCTACTTTCGTGCCCACCCCCATCTCTCTTTCTTGATGGTTATCTTCCATTGTCTCAGCAGGAACATGACATTTGATGTGTCCAACATTAGACAAAAATTGAAGGCTTCCCTGGGAATTTGAATCAAGATTAATAGGTCTCTCAGCCTTGGTAAAAATACAGTCTTGAACTCTCTGATTACTGTTTTTTTTCTTCAGCCAGAGGAAGTTACTGTAAAGGGTTTGCCTTTCTCTGGGCTGGCTGGAGCAATGTGACTTGGCGTTCTAGTTTTGACCCCTTCCACCTTTTCAGCCAAGAAAAGTGCCTATTTTCTGCACAGGTGAAGTCCAAGCTAGGCTGTAATCACATTATGCATTATTTAATACAACTCCATTAATTTACAAAGAGCTCTGGCTTTACTGCACGATTCAGAATAAGGTTTCCTAAGAAATTTAAACTTTGCCACCTCAACATCCAACATAGTTATCCTTTAAAACAAAAATTATGATGAGGCCGAGACCCTACTTTCAGCCTGAATTGGTAGATAAATATACTAAGTTTAAATGAGTGTCCAGGAAAATGTGTTTGACTACTCTGGAAACCTAGCTGCTTAAGAAATAAAATGTCCTTGAATTAATCAGCGGAAAAGGCACAGCACTAAATTATAAATTCCAACCATTAATATTCATAGCCTTATTCCAGCATAATCAAGTACAGATAAGAAGTTATGCATAAAAACATAACAAGTAGAGGAAAATCCTAGGTAAAGATCTTTTCAGTTAGAATCATTTGCTTTGAAATAGTGGAAACTACTGATTTGCATGTCGTCTTTGCATGGCAGCAGTGTGAGGGCAGTTTGAAACCTCATGCACTCCAGGGAGAGTATGTGGCTTGCCAGGTTTGTGAATATGGGACATTAAATTCCAGTCCTGTATGGGGGGCTGGTAGCATCTGCTTTGCTAATAACAGGTAGGGAGGAAGTGCAGAATAGGTGGGAAAGTTTTAATTCTGAAAGTGTCAGTCAGTGGCTGCTCTGATCCAAAAAAAAAAAAAAAAAAAAAAAAAAAAAAAAAAAAATCCATGATTGAGGCCTAAGAAAAAAGTTAGCTGAGATTTATACAATTGATTTAGTGTGGCAGGTGATAATAACAACAATAATAGTAGCAGTTTTGTTTGTGCTTTTTCAAATGCTTCCAGTTCTATTCTCTCAAGTAATCCTTTAAGGAAGATAGGCCAGGTGTTCTCTCTCCCATTGCAGAGACAGAAAAACTGCAGTTCGTAAAGGTAAAGAGACTTGCCCAGGGTCATTTCTCTCTTGGCTGGTTAAGCCAGGTCAGAATTTGAGTCTTCAAAATCATCCCAACTCTCTTTCCTCTTGGTCATGCTGTTAGCATCCTCCAAGTGGGCCCAGGAAGAAATGCAGTGGGTCAATAATGCCTTCAAATCCAAAGTTATCTCTGTAGCTGTGGGCTTTTGAATTTCCAGATGAATTATTACAGCTGTCCCATGGTTGCCTTGCAGAACATCATTTATCTGGGGGCCTGGGAGAATGTCCATTTAGGACAGGCCAGTAGAAAAGGTTTTTGACTGCCTTACATTGATTCATTATCTGCCAGTACGCAGAGAAGACAGGGAGCTGCCTCTGCATAAGATGCTGAAAGCATTTTCTGCTTTTCTGTTGTTTATGATATGTCCTTTTGTGACTATACTAGGAAAGGGATGGCACAAAAGGCAGCTCAGGATTTTCTCTTTTCTCTGGAGGCTTATGGTCTTTGGGGTGAGTTATTTAATATGACACATTTGCCAGTAGATCCTCATGCATGGGAAGGTTGAGGCAGCCTAGGAGACATTAAGGCAAATCGTAAAGAAACAACATTGATTGAGCCATATTTTGTGCAGTGAAATACAATAAATTAAAAGGTCAGATTGAAAAACACTGGAATTACTATTTCTCTGTTAATTTCTATAATTCATGGGGCCTCCATTAGCTGGGCACTTAATGTACATTATCTCCAGTCTTTATGATAATCTTGTAAGCTCAGTATCATGACCTCCAGTTTACTGGAAACTGAGGGTTAGAGAAATTAAGTGATTTGCCCGCTAAATACTGAAGTTAGATTTGAGTCTAGGTGGATCTAGCTCCAAAGTACTTTATATGTCTTTACGATCACTTCAGGCTCAATGAACCCTGTTGCATTTACTTTGAAACATATATTGAAAATGGTAGTATGTTGGAAAATCAATTTACTTATTTTCAAATAGTTTGGCCATAGTAATAATCACAGATTTTGAGAGACTGGCAGAAACATGAACCAGATTAATTTGTTAGCTTACTAGCCAGCTGCACCACATCCTTTTTACAAGACCGCATTTATTATAAGGAACAATAATCACCACCCAAAAACCAACCCTCACACAAATTCTTTTCCTCATCAGTGATGCAGTATGTGCATAACAAGGAAAATAAAATGGAAGCTGTGAATGTTAGGCTGGAGGCTTAAAGACAAGCATGGATGGGCCATCTAGTGCTCAGACTTGTCATGATGAGGAGCTTCAGGGTGAAGATGTTGATACAGGATGTGTCCCCTCAAGGCTAGACCCATATTCTTGCTAGAATGTCTAGCAGCATCCCTGGCTTTAGATGCCAATAGCACCTGCCCAAACCCCAGTTATGAGAACCAAAAATGTCTACAGACATTGCTGAATGTTCCCGAGGACAAAATCACCACCACTGCCACCCTCCCTCCATTCAGAACCACTATTCTACATCAAAATACAGCTACAGGTCAGCTAAAGACAGGGACATATTCTGAGAAATGCATCGTTAGGTGATTTTAACTTGGTGAACATCATGATATACTTACACAAAGCTAGAGCGTGGAGCTGACTGCACTCTTAGGCCATATGGTATAGCCTATTGCTCCAGGCTACAAACCTGTACAGCCTGTGACTGTACTGAATACTGTAGGCAATTATGATAGAGTGGTAAGTTTTTGTGTATCCATATGTATCTACATGTAGAAAAGGTACAGTAAAAATATGATATTTATAATCTCACAGGACCCCTGTCATACATGCGGTCTCTCATTGATAAAAATGTTGTTATGCAGCAAATGACTGTATTTTCTAGAAGAATTAAAAATGCACCAAGTGCAGCAAGTGCCAGGGACGTGGGACTGGACGCTCCCACGCAAGCTTGGCTGCCTCTCCCGAGACTACACTCCTGGGAGGAGCTGGCATGCGCTCAGCATTGTCCACGCTTTCCCAAAGCTACAGATTCATATATGTGAAGGGTCATACGAATGATTTACTTAAATTAGTAAAAGTAAAGTTCATACTCTGAAGTCTTTCTGGCCCATCCCTAGAATTCTTTTGTGTCCTCTCACTCCATGGATGATTGCCATTTTCCTGAACACCACTGAGCTTCCTCTAAACATCAGCTGAAGAACCTCGAGCTTTTTTCCTCAAATGGATCTTCACAGACCCTACATTTTGTGTCTGCCCCAGGGCAGGCACACCACAGTTTTATAAGGAATAAACTCCGGAATATGCCTTGCTTTTTTTGTGAGACTCTGGGAGAGCCACATTTTATTTTGTAGAGATGACAGTTGAATCACTCATTTTTGTAGAACGACAGCTGCGATGTGCCACCAAAATGTTCCAGAGAAGCTGAGGGTGTTTCATTTGTTCCAAGAGCTGGCAAGGCCAAATGCCAACAAGCATATTTATTTCTGAAACTTCCATTTCTGTAATGGATTGGCACCTTATTTATTTATTTATTTATTTTTACCATAGGCAAGGTTTTATGCCTGATTTTTGTAGATGCTGAAATCTGGCAGCCCTATATCTGCAGTGCACTTTTGAGGGGGACTTGCTAGATTTTGTATATAGAGTCAGCCCTCCATAGCCCTGGGTTCTGCATCTGCAGATATAACCAACCTCGGATTGAAAAATTTTGGGGAGAAAAACCTAATAAAAACAACAATACAACAACAGAAATCATGCAAATAAAAAGCAATACAATATAACAACTCTTTATATAGCACTTACATTGTATTAGGTATTATAAGTAACCTAGAAATGATTTAAAGTATTTGGGAGGATATGTGTAGATTGTATGCAAATACTGTGCCATTTTCTATCAGAGTCTTGAGCATCCTTGAATTTTGGTATTCTTGGGAGGTCCTGAAACCAGTCCCCCATGGATACTGAGGGGCGGCTGTATATATGTTTTAACCTCTATATCCACCAAAATATTACCCCAGCCTTGTCATCCTCAAAGTTATGGTACATCTGATGGCAGTGAGCATCAGTTGCCTGAGGAGATACACTAGCAGTGCCAAGGGCTGTTTTTTCAACTTTCATTAAAATCCTTTTTGCCTGAAGTCCTAGCCCTTTAGTCTGTGGTCTATGAGTCTACTTTAATTTGCACAATGGGGTTAAGTGGAAGGGCTGAAATGACAGAAGTTAGGATTGCTTTTGGTATTAGAAGGATTAGAGGCCAACATCTGGCTCTAAATTCACCCAGGCACTGTGGATCAGCTACTTGATATTAGTGTAGTTTTGGGGAAAGTATCACTTCTGTTCAAATTTTTAAAAAGCATATAAAGCCAGCAACTTTTAATGAGCAGGTCCTTTAAAAAGCCATGACATTTTCTTTAGAGATCAGACACAGAAAGAACCACCAACTGTGTTTATTAAAATATCCATTTGGAGATTCCAATTATACACTAAACCGCCAAGGGAATTTTTGGAAGTATTTTAACTTAATAATCAGACATTCAAATATATGCAACAAATGTGTAATTTAAAGGTCTGATTGCAATAATCAGTTCTTGGAATAAATGTGGGTGCACTTAATGAAATGCGCACTCTAAAGGGCACACACACTCACATATTGTGTAGTAGGTTGGATCTTTATGCCACTTTGTAAAAGGCAGAGGGGATCAAAACTAATTGCATGTGGTGATCAAAGAAGGAATTCTGTATAGCACATTTCTCCCTCTTCCAGAAAATACTTAGCTTTAGAGCTGTGGTTCTAAATGGAAGGTGGCGGCAATGATTTTGTCCCCAGGGAACATTTAGCAATGCCCAGAGATATTTTTGGTTGTCACAACTAGGGTGTGGGTGGATGCGACTGTCATGAAGAGGACAGGAAAGTTGCTTAATATTCTATAATTCACAGCACAGCCCCCGTAAGAAATGACAGTCGAGCCCCAAATGCCAACAATGCTGAGGTCAAGAAACCCCAATTAGAGTAAGTATGTTGAAGGGAGGAGAGATGGCAAGAGACTATGATACAAACCAGTTTAGTTTAGGGAGCGAAATTCTTCAAACATTAAAATGGAGATTAAGAAGAAAGAGCTCAGTATCACCTGATCATGAGAGAAATGCAAATCGAAGCCTCAGTAAGATACCATCTCACACCAGTCAGAATGGCTATCATTAAAAAGTCAAAAAATAACAGATGCTGGTGAGGTTGCCGAGAAAAGGGAACACTTATACATTGTTGCTGGGAGTATAAATTAGTTCAGCCATTGTGGAAAGCAGTGTGGTGACTCGAAGAATTAGAAAGAACTATTACTCAACGTAGCAATCCTTTTACTGGGTATATACCCAAAGGAATATAAATTGTTCTACCATGAAGATACATGGACACTGCAGCACTATTCACAATAGCAAAACATGAAATCAACCTAAATGCCTATCTTGGTAAACTGGATTAAAAAAATATGGGCCATATACACCATGGAATACTTTGCAGCCATAAGAAAGAATAAGATCATGGTCTTTGTAGGAACATGGATGGAGCTGGAAGCCATTATCCTAAGCAAATTAACACAGGAACAGAAAACCAATACCACATGCTGTCACATATAAGTGGGAGCTAAATGATGAGAACACATAGACACAAAGTAGAGAACGACAGAGGCCTACTCAAGGATGGAGGGTGGGAGGAGGGAGAGGAACAAAAAAAAAAATCTATTGGGTACTAGGCTTAGGACCTGGGAGACAAAATAGTCTGTGCAACAAATCCTCATGACGTGAGTTCACCTATATAACAAACCTGGATATGTACCCCTGAATCTAAAAGCTTTTTAAAAAATGGAGATTAGAATATACCTGCAAATGATGATGCTGAAGCAAAATTATTTTTAGTCTAGCAAAGTGTAAAATCTACCTCCCCTCAATTGGAGTAATAAGTTCTTTATAGATGGATTGATTTCAAAAATCTAGTTAAATATATTTTTGATCTATGTTTTTACAAAAAACAATTATTGGTAAGAATCAAACAGTCCTCAAGGCTCAGTAGTGGAAGAAGATGGTGTGCTGCTACTCAGGGAATTGGGCTGAACCTTTTGATTTTCTTTCAGGTGAAGGAATACGTCCAATTAATCAGTGTGTATGAAAAGAAACTGTTAAACCTGACTGTCCGAATTGAGATCATGGAGAAAGATAGCATTTCTTACACAGAACTGGATTTCGCGCTGATCAAGGTAGAAGTGAAGGAGATGGAGAAACTGATCATACAGCTGAAGGAGAGTTTTGGTGGAAGCTCAGAAATCGTTGACCAGCTAGAGGTGGAGGTAAGGAGTGAACTATCTTCCTGGTAAACTAATAATATATTCCCTTCAGTGACTATCAGCAAGTGCTAGGATCAGGAAATGAAACTCTCTCTTCCAACTTGTAATTCTCTACTCTCATGGCCACATGGCATGTCAGTTCTGTTTCGAGTAAGAGCCTGTGTTTGAATAGTAAGTTAAGCACATTCGGAATGTGCTGACTTAGGAGCAGATGTTGTCTTATGGTCAGAATCCTGCCCCAAAGCAAAACGCCCTTTGACCTCCTCTAAAAAGGAGGTGACATAAATTTGAACAACTGTTCATGACCAAGCTAGATGAGGTGTCTTCTCTGGTCTAGATTTATCCTCATGGATCTAGAAATCCACAATATACCTGATTGTGGTAAACTCGTTAGGTTTGTTTCTCATTTCGAATAACCTGGACTCCTTCTCTAAAAACTGGAAGCCCTCTTTAAGAAATTTCTTGTATATTTCTGTGAAGCCTTTTAAGATCTGTGGATAGAGATCATGACATCAATGTAATGGTCAGGTAATTTATATTAACGAGAATTGCACAGTCATGACATGGGTTATAATTGAGATTTCTAGTTACGTATTTTAGAATTTAAGCTTTCTCTGGCCCTCACCATTCATTAGAAACTTAATTATAATACAACCTGAGTAAACACAAGTTTATAGGGAAAGTTTTTGTTAGAAATGAATTTTAATGGACATTTGTGGATGCTGAGAATGAGCTTGGGCTCTATTATTAAAGCTGTTAAAATCTTTGCCATTTTCTTCCTGTCACATACATCTGCCTGAGATCTGACAGGCGTTCACGCTAAACCATAAAATGTATTCTTCCAAATGAAACCATTCAGAGGAATCTCTGGTGTATTCTCTTGCAGTGTTTCACTAAATGACAAATTCAGCCCTGGAATGTTTATGAAAGAAATTGCACCATAATATAAAGTCACTCTGAATTTTTATTTCCTTAGATAAGGAATATGACTCTCCTGGTAGAGAAGCTTGAGACACTAGACAAAAACAACGTCCTTGCCATTCGCCGAGAAATCGTGGCTCTGAAGAACAAGCTGAAAGAGTGCGAGGCTTCTAAAGGGGAAAACACCCCTCTTGTCCATCCTTCTCTCACTCCAGGTAAGCATGCCACTTTTTTAACCACTTGTGCCAGATCCCATAAGGAGCTGTGAGTGGGGTGGGGAAGGGATTGGGGATTGCAATGGTGAAACAGAAGGTGAGATTTTTTCCTTTTTTTTTGGTAGTTCTCAGTTTTCTCTTCCCTGTTTTAAATTCCCTTCCTCCCAAGTATTCTACATGCTATCATATTCTGGGTTTCACAGAGGAAGAGCACAAACAATGAGTTGACTTAAAACAAAACCCACAAGTTACACATAGTCTCTTTGCATTTACTAACAGGGAACAAAAATCTCTATGGTAATTGAGGCACTATTAGAGGCCTCAGGGGGAAAGCCTCTGGAATCTGTGTGTGGCATCCACTTTTGTGGATTTAAGGGCTCATTGGCTCACTTATCTGATGAGCTAGGTTTATACCTTCAATATTCCCATCTTCTCTCTCTCTTTCCCTTTCTCCTCTTTAATTTTTACTTTATTCTTCCTATAAATGTGTTCTGAGCACCTGCTATATTGTGTGTCCTGAGATTCAGTGAGGATTAAAGGAATAACCCCACATATCATAGTGCTTGTGGCTGTGACTTGCTGTTCCTCATGGACCATGAGTTCTTGGAGGGTAAGGGTGGCGTGTTAGTCTCTAATAAATCCTCCTTGTGGTTAAGTACAGCACGGAGGTGGGTGTTCTGTGAATATACCCATGAACAGAGGCAGTGGACTGTAGGGTTCAAGAGCATAGCTTAAGAATCCCAAAGGCCCAAGCTTCCCAGCTGGGTGGCTGTAGCAACAAGGATCCTTAATATCCTCATTTGTAAAATGGAAGAATAATAGTGCCTGCCTTGCAGGGTGGGGAGATTAATGAGGCAGTGCTTGGAAAGCTTGGAGCCTTGTGATTGGCACTCACACACTGGCAATGGGTATTATTAGTAATGTTGATAATTGAAGTGAAAACTTTGCAACAAAACAAAAGCAATGCTAGATTACTGTGCCCTGCAATGCACCCCTCCAGGTGAACAGAAGGCCGCCTCTCAGCCACAGCATTCAGCCCCATCCTTTAGAGACGTTGATGACACAGAGGCCTTCTCTCTGCAGGTCCTGAGCATCTTAGTCTGAATGAGGACTGTATATTTTCATCAAATCATGCAACCCTTTTATTTTTATTAATTCCAATCCTCACACTCGCTTATTTTATTTTATTTTTGGAGACAGAGTCTTGCTCTGTTGCCAGGCTGGAGTGCAGTGGCACAATCTCAGCTCACTGCAACTTCTGCCTCCCAGGTTCGAGCGATTCTCCTGCCTCAGCCTCCTGAATAGCTGAGATTACAGATGTCCGCCACCACACCCAGCTAATTTTTGAATTTCTAGTAGAGACGAGGTTTCACCATGTTGGCCAGCATGGTCTTATCTCCTGACCTTGTGATCCACCTGCCTTAGCCTCCCAAAATGTTGGGATTACAGGCTTTAGCCACCACGCCCGGCCACCTGCTTTCTTTTAGATTGTGTTTCTGGATTTTCGTCAATAACTAATATTTTTTAAGGCTTCAATTATTAAATAGGTATAACCATGGATATAAGCCTGTCGGTCTTGTTCAGGCGAATCTTTTCCCTCCCTCTACAAATGGGAGTCTGTCCTACTAGGACAGGTGTCGTCTAATGGTCAGAATCCTGCCCCAGAACAGAAAGGCCTTTCAACTTCTCCAGAAAGAAGGTGACATAAATTTGAACAACTGTTTAAATTTTTCAGCCTGCAGAGAAGGTTTAGGGCAAAGACCATGGTCTGTCCTCTATAATAAACTGAGTCTAAATTTAGTCTGGGATTAGTGGTGCAAAACATGTAGCGAATGAGAATTGTTTCGGCTGGTCCACAGAGGGCTCACTGAGGCAGAGGTCAAAGCAATGACAACTCCTGATAACACCCGAACTAGCTCCCACTACCCCCGGCAAATCTTCCTTGTGAAATAGATTTTTCTGGCACAATTTCTTATGCATCCCTTAGAATGAGGACTTTTGAGAGCAGGAAGGAATATTCAGGGCCGTCTAACTTAGTCATGTCGTGTCTCAGAGGGGAAGACTTGGCTGGTAAGGACACTGCTTTTCCTGAGGCCACACAAGTAGCTAATGAGAGAGCAGAAGGTGCAATGCAAAGGTCTTTGCTCCCTGGTCGGCTCAGGACTGAGAGTATCAGATGGCGGTAAGCCAAGGACGACAGTGGGGAGGAAATGCATTGCTTAGTACCCAGGGAGGAAAACAAGTGAGACTGTTGGGTCATTTTTGTTGGATTTTCTGTTTTTTCCCCAGAACTTTCCCCTAGGCCCTCACCCTTAGACTTCTGTGATCCATCCTAGCCCAGCTGTGTTGTTTAAGCAAATTGGACCCAGATTTTCACTCACTTTCCCACAACCTTGGCTGTACCTGAATCCCTGCCAAGCCACTTGGCTCTCTTCCAGCTTTGTTCATATTATATTTATGATGTTTATATTAAACTGACTTTTGGCCATGTTTTTAAATCAATTTCTTTCACTTGCTCTCTTTCTGTTTGGATTGGTTGATAATGCAGAATTGGAAAATCCCCAGGCACCACAAACTTGTGAGCCTGCGGAGACTTTAATTAAAGTTACTCACTATTATGGGACTTTAAAATCTGGCCTGTCTGCTTTTTTCACTGCAGAGTTGCACAGAAAAAAGAAAAGACTATATGCAAGTCTCAGCTCTAAAGTCACTCTGGGCTCTCTGGGCCCCCTCCCTTGTAGCTACGGTTTGCTAATCCAGTGGTCAGCTTGAATTTAGAACGACTGAATGTATCCCAGGTTCAATAAAATATGCTTTCCATTTGTTTTTTGCTACAAACAACACTCTTTTCTGCCTTGTTCCATAGAACTTTCTAATCTAAAATAATTGGCCTCCTACTCATTAACTTTTTTCCTTTAAAACTTCAGTCTGTCTCTGTTGTGCCTGTGAATCTAAATGACTGCATATAGGCCAAATGTGATAGGGGTGCTCAGGGGTTGATCTCCATTTTGCTTGGGAATGCAAGGCTCAATGCTGGTTCATAGTGATGCTCAGTAAGTAGTTGATGATTGAATGGGCTCTGAAAGACATGGGGTGACCTGCTAAAATCCCAGGCTTAGGGAGGAGCCACGTGTTGAGCAGCATATTTCTAACACTTCAGAGTCAATTTAGTCTTAATCATTTTGTGACTATGATTGTTTTAATTGCCTAATCTTTATAAGTCAATCATATTCTCCTCCTGGCTCAAAGTTCAGCTGCCCAGTTGAGACAGTATATTAATAGATATAAGATTAATTTTCTTCTGCAGGCATATAATTATTGGCTTTAAAAAATGCTACTAACCATGATACTTCTAAAAAGCCAAGTCAGAATATTTTGAAGTCTCATCATTCTGGCTTCCTCAGATATTTTCAGAATACCATGGTGCCGTCTAATGAATTGCATGATGCCAACCGAGCCTACACTTGTATAAAGGGTTCCTCAAATTATGTTCCATGGAGTAAATACCAGGCTTTTTGGAAAACCAGATATGTAGCAGGTTGGAAGGCTAGTGTCTTACAAATAAGGGTAAGCTGAGTTTAGGTGATTTGATTAGTCTTTCATTCCTTTATTCTACAAAACAGAATTGGTGTCACTGTGCGGCTGGCCCTGCTCTGGGTACTGGGCCAGGATGAATAAAGAAACCTCCAGAAGCCACTATCTAGGAAAGGAGGCATCTAAACCTCCAGTTGTAACATAAGTATATTGAGATATTTACCATTTACTGAGTAACATTTACATGCCTTCTCTGTGTTTTTCATAACTGTTCTGCAGAGTTGGTATTATTATTTTTCTTCTAATATGAGGAAACTGAGGCTCAGAAGGTTAAGAAATTTGCTCAAGTTTATACAACTAGTATTGGAATCAGGCTTTCAATTTTAGAATCTGTCTAGTAGTATTTTCCATACGAGGCTGCCTTCCATAAATGCTCTAACAGAGAAGTACACCTGTGGTTTCTGGAGTGACAAGAAAATTCCAACAGCTCATCTATCTGCTTAACACCAAATTATCTTTGCTTCCTTGCTTGTGGAGTAGCTAAAGGACACTTTGCTCCTGACAGTTCTGTGCTGTGTGTTATCTTCCACCAGAAAATGCAAAATGATTCAATGATCTTTCAGAATTCTTGGGTCATGATTGGGCTATGCGTTGTTGCCCAAGTGTCAGATGAAATTGGGATGGAAACTGGGAATGAAGTACATCTAAAACCTTGACATGAAGGAAGGGGCTGGGAAGGAGTTTGAGATAAGGGAAGGTAGTGAGAAGCTCAGTGAAGATGGGATAGGGAGATGGGGACTCTGAGAAATAGTGGGCACTGGGCTGGCTGTCAGTTTCAGTATCGTGTCCAAGATGGTTTGCTGCCAGGAGTCGAGGAAGCCTGCCACAGCATTTTTCCTGGTCTGACATTGTTGTGGCCACATGTGCAGCACTGGCAACAATGTTGAGTTCTCATTTCTGTTTTTACTTCCTTTCTACCATAGCCAAGGCCCTAAAAATGGCCCTTTATCCTTGCCCGTAGAGGATAAAAGGAGGATAGCAAATGAACAGGAAAGTGTTTAGGAATGTTTGGGAAGTGAGAAAAGGAGTTTCCTACAATTTTAATATTTATACTGGGCAATTTGAATTTTCTGGTCAACTTATGAAATGATAAGCCACTATTATTATTAGTCACAAGAGTAATCGTACTAATACTATTATACTAATAATAGTGCAATTAGTATAATGGCAGCAGTAGTAGTAATAGTAATTTTTGAAAAGTTTTTTTGGTTCCTTCATGTCTAAAAATTTTCACATCTAGGGACAGAATACTTTATCTATAACCTTGTGGAGGTGCTTGAATAAGTTATATGCATCACAAATTTTCCTTAAATATTTTGTTGCTGTTGGTTTGGGATATTTTCTTTTCAGGAAGGCAAGATTCAATGAAGCAAACAATTCTTGTCTTCTAACCTAAAAGAAAAAAAGTGACTTTCCTCTGAATGAAATATAGTTAAATAAATAAGTTCTCAGAAAGACATTTTAACTAGAACATCCAGTTTGTAGCATATGGAAACTTGAACAGTTTTTGTTATCATTAAACTGAACACACCGCTAACTTTATTTTAATAATTCATGCATTGTTTCATAAACAAAAGCAAACAAGCATTCATCTGAGAGATCATTTTTAGTAGAAGAAATAATAATTTATAATTTTATTTATTATTTCTTCAGTGGAGAATAGTCTCTTGGCTGAACACACGTTGCTTTTTTATTTATGAAATGGCACATGCATTATTAAAATAAACCTGCTACTGTGTTCTGCTTAATGATATGCAAAATTATTTGAGGTTGGGTACAGAGTGGTTTCATTTCTCTACCTGTTGTATGGTCGGCTGGCTTTCTCACCAAGTGTGGATTTATGAGAGCATTTAAGGAACACATATTTAATTCTGGGACCAAAAAACCCCAGCAGGTTGGAAAAATAAAAACAGAATTTCTAGTAATGGTTTCACCTTTGAGCAGTCCTTGGGTGAGGAGGTTGGGGAGGGAAAGCATTTAGCTAGCAAAGGAATGGGTCTTTCCATATTGGACACAGCAGAGACCCAGAGACAAAGGCTTTGCTCCCGCTTCCCCACCTCCATGCTAATCTCAGGCAATTCTTTGCAGCTCTGCTTTTGGCTCCAGCTCACCTCATGTTTCTCAATGGCTCTCTGAGTCCCTCCAGGTGTTTGAAACCAGATCCAATGATTCAGGTTCTGCTCCTTTCCTGTCTCAACTGCTCTGCTCTGAGCAGCATGACAAGGGAATATGACCTCAAATATACTTGAAGCTGGGTTTTCTTTGTTATCCAATAAACCATCTCATGAGTTCTTTGAATGTTAAGATCCCAGAAAATGTGTGTTCAACTCTTTGGATAGTTATTATAAAAATACTGGAGGAATTTTATTTTATTTTTATAGCTCATAAACTCCTGGGATGGCAGGCATTTCAGAGGGAGTACAATGTGAAGGGCTGATTGCCCAGAATGAGTCATTTACCCAAGTGTTACAGGGAATGTAGATTCAGTGGACCAGTGAATCTGGTCCCAGTTGATTGTACACATTGTGACAATGACAGTGTCGGGATGGAAAGATGAAATGCTTGCATGTCATTCTATGGCACAATATCATATATGGACTCACTGTGTAACTCTGCAGCAGGATGGTCACTAAGTGATTTATTGATGGGCTGTGCATTGGGTAAAGAACAGGCAATGTTGCCCCAAAATAACTTTATGGCTTCTCAAGGGTAAAATCTCACCATTATAGGACCATCTTTCTGGATCTATAAAGCGCTATATTTAAAATGGCCTCTTCTGAGAATAGCTTAAAGCAGCATTGGTACCTGGCATGAATGTGTAGTTGGGGTTCCAGGGAAGGGGAGAACAAGGAAGGGCATGAAGTCTTGCCTGGAAAACCTTTTCCTTCATCACAGTTCTTTCTGGGGTTGACTGACCCTGGTGAATAACATCTTTTGGATTTATAGAAACAGGGTAGGATTGTGGAATAATCTTGATTTCTTGATTTTGCTATAAGAAAAATGAAATAAGATAATTTTTGCAAAATGCTCTCTGATAGAAAGAAATGTATTAAATTTACTAAGTCTCCCTTTCCTCTCTCTGGGCTTTCAAACTTTTTAAATATGGTTCGTGGCAGTTTCATTATTCCTGTTTTCTAGATTGAAAGCCCACCCATGGAAGCAGCAGATGGTTCTCCATAGAGCTGACATCGAGTTTGCATTGAGACTGAAACTAAGAGGAGGTTTAGCCCTCCTTCTCCATCAGAACCACTGCTGTTATTGAACCTTGACAGGAAACATATTTATAGATTCCTTTGGTGCTTAGGATATTAAACTATTTGTATTCCATTATTTCTTTTCGCTAAAAATGCCTCTTTACTTTCTTGTTTGTATAGGGAGCTGTGGTCATGGTGGTGTGGTGAACGTCAGCAGACCATCTGTAGTTCAGCTCAACTGGAGAGGGTTTTCTTATAAGTATGGTGCTTGGGGTAGGGATCACTCTTCCCAGCATCCAAACAAAGAACTGTATTGGGTGGCGCCATTGAATACAGACGGGAGACTGTTGGAGTATTACAGACTGTACAACTCAATGGATGATTTGCTATTGTATACAAATGCTCGAGAGCTGCGGATCACCTATGGCCAAGGTAGCGGTACAGCAGTTTACAACAACAACATGTATGTCAACTTGTACAACAGCGGGAATATTGCCAGAATTAACCTCACCACCAACAGGGTTGCTGTGACTCAAACTCTCCCTGATGCTGCCTTTAATAATCGTTTTTCATATGCGAATGTTGCTTGGCAAGATATTGACATTGCTGTGGATGAGAAAGGATTGTGGGTAATTTATTCAACTGAAGCCAGCACTGGTAACATGGTGATTAGTAAACTCAATGACACCACACTTCAGGTGCTAAACACTTGGTATACCAAGCAGTATAAGCCATCTGCTTCTAATGCCTTCATGGTATGTGGGGTTCTGTATGCCACCCGTACTTTGAACACCAGAGCAGAAGAAATTTTTTACTATTATGACACAAACACGGGTAAAGAGGGCAAACTAGACATTGTAATGCAGAAGATGCAGGAAAAAGTACAGAGCATTAACTATAGCCCTTTTGACCGGAAACTTTATGTCTATAACGATGGTTACCTTCTGAATTATGATCTTTTTGTCCTGCAGAAGCCCCAGTAAGCTGTTTAGGTATTAGGGTGAAAGAGAAATAAAATGTTTGTTGAAAAAATCGTCTTTTCACTTTCTTAGATGTCTGCAGGGGCTTCTAGAAGTGTGTTCATTCTGCAGCAATATCTAGGTGCATAGTTCTACACACTAGAGACCTAGGAGATTTGACTTAATTTGGTGAGTCCTCTCAGGAGCCATCTGCCTCTTCAGATGCATTTCCAGCTGAAGTGAAGTCCTTCTAGGGTGGGATTGTTAGAGGTCGAGGGGCACTGTGGGTCTAGTGAAGCCTACTGTGATGTGGCATCTGGAAATTAAGGAACTTAAGGATAACTCAGTATGGCTTCCAGGGATTCTTTGTACAGGGAAGATTGCCCAGTGACCAGTTCTCTTCCATGTAACCCCACTAATTACTCTGTGCCTGGGGATTAGTTAGGCAGATTAATATCTGGAGCTCCTTGAGGGACCAAATCTCCAACTTTTTTTTTTCCTCACTAGTACCTGGAATGATGCTTTGTATGTGGCAGATAAGTAAAGTTGGCATGCTTCTATTGTATCTGTAAAGTGCTAAGGTTTATGGAGAAAAGCCTTTTTATGCATTAAATTGTACACTGCAAATAAAGCCCAGAAGGACCCGCAGATGAGGCATATGCTGTTTCTTTTCTCTCATTGTCCACCTACCTAGAAGTCAGTAGAACCCTCTACCTCATAACTTCCTTCCAAAGGCAGCTCAGAAGATCAGAACCAGACTTACTAACAAATTCCCCCTACCCCTTCTCTACCTCCTGCTTTAAAAAAAAATAATAGTTTTCTATGGAACAGATATAAGATTAGAAAAATAAATTTTCTTTGATTTCATCATGAACTTCTATTTACATGGCTCTAAGACTATGAGATAATCTGATGGCAGCAATGAAGTGCTAGCATTTATTGTTATATAGTAAAGACCTTGGAGCATATGTGCAACTTATGAGCCTATCAATTGTTGCATGTAATTTTTGCCTTTGTTTAAGCCTGGAACTTGTAAGAAAATAAAAATTTAATTTTTTTTTCTAGGATGAGATATAGAAAAGCTACTGAGAGTATCTAGCTAATCAGTGCAGTAGTTGGAAACCTTGCTAGCATACGTGATGTACTTCTGTGCTTTTGAATGGCTTTGCCATGTGGTCTTTGATTGTTTTTCCTTTGATGATCAAGTCTAGTCGATGGGATGGCCGTTTAAATGCTTTACTCCATCTTTTAAAATACAGGATTAAAATGTGCTTTGAAAAAAAGTCATCTTTTGTTTTATTTACTTTTTAATTAAAAAAAAATAAGCTCTTACCGGGGTAGTCCATATCTTGCTATGATGTTCAGAGAATGGCTGCCTCCCAAACAGCGGTGCTGGGAGATCACATAGCTAAGAACAGATGATATTAATAACTTTAATAAGAGTCCAAAGTCAGACTGGCTCTTTAGTTTTCCTTTCCCTTTAAAATCCACTCTTTCTGGCAGCTTTTATTGTATGAGATTGTCCTATTATCTTTTGGGATATGACCTTATATACTTATTAATTTGCATGACTGATCTGATTATTTCCAATGCTAGACTACATTTATGTGGCTTATGTTTCTTTTCCAACTGAGCTATTAACGTGGATCAGAAGCCTCTGGATCTTCCCCAAACAGGAGGACTTGGGCAGAAAGCAAAAGGACTAACTGGCTGTACCAGGAAGAGAAGTACCTTTACCAAAGAGAATGTGTAAGAGGACAGGTGACCTCGGGCTGGAAGGACAACTGGACTGATGCAGTTAGTCTTCCTGAAACGCTCATTTTGAATCCTTGCCAAGGTTTTTGAGCCAGATGACAGCTATAATATTTAGTATTTTTAGTAAGATTCTTCCCTATCTCTTCAGGGCTGAGTGTAGAGACAGGTATGGCCTTCAAAATGCAGCAAGATATGAAGATAAAGACATGTATGTCATATGAGATACAAGTTAAAAACCAAGATGTTATGTTTAATCTGGCTCTAGGCAGTTCTCCAGTTGAATGTTTCTACCAAGTACACAGTATGACCTCTGAAGATTCAGGAAAGGAGGCAGGAAGCCAATGTAACCCTAGCAATCAGCTGCTTATTTGAACTGCTACAGAAGCATTTGCCTGAAAAAATACACTTCCCAGCCTCTTTCCCACTGGACATGGTGTATCAGTCTGCAGTGGCTGCCTGCAGGAAATATCCCTTCTGGGAAGGTTGAAGGACTCAGGGATTCAGGCTCCTGGGTTTACCACAGTGCAGTTATACAATGGGAATTTTAGCTTCAGATTCATCTGCTAGCACCTGTTTGAAATTTACATATATATATTATAAACATAAATTACATAAGGTATAATTCACATGTGGTAAAACCTGTTAGTTTTAAGTGCACAATTCAATGAGTTTTGAGAAGTGTATAGTCATGTAAAGGGTACCACAATTAGGAAATAAAACACTTCCATCCTCCCTGAAATGTTCTCTTGTGCTTTTTTATAGTGAACTCCTACCCCCACCTTCCAGTCTCTGGCCACCACCGATCTGTTTCCTAAACCTATGGTTTGCTTTTTCCCCAAAGTCATGGACATGGAATTATATGGTGAATAGGCGTTTGAATGTCTTCTTCAACAAGAGAACTAGTGGGTTCAAATTACCCCAGAGGGGAACTGGGCATTACCAGTGCTCTTGGGGTTTCCTGCATTGTTTATTGTCTTTCCTGGGGTTGGGTAGGGGATTATGGAGAGCTGTGGTGACCTACTGCCCTTCTAAGTGTTCCCGAGTGGCTTGTAGGCCATGGGAGGGGTCGGAATCTGTGCACCAATCAAACCTACCAGTCAGTGCTCCCAAAGCATGAGATTTTCTTCTTATCAGGCTTGTTGAAGGTTTGTTCTCCAATCTTACTCCTGTACTACAAGCATCCCTATCCAGGTGAGACTGGATATTAGTTAACACTGCACAGAGTGGTTATGAGCACAGGATTCAGAGTCACGCAAAAATGGATTTGACTCTTGGTCCTGCTACTTGCATATGGTATGGTTTTGGGATGGTGCCTTAACTTTTCTGAGACTCAGTGCCTTTTTCTGTAAGATGGGATAAAACCACCTACCTCACAGTCCTGTGGGATAAATTAAATGGTATTACGTATATAAAGTGTTTAGGGAAGTCCTTGGCCCATGCTCTGCCCTTTACAACGAGTTTTTAATCCCTGTTTCTCATTTTGAATTTTAGGTTCAGAACAGTCATTGGGTTGAAAAGATATAAAACTAACTGGGATTCAAGTTTACATTTCCTTCTACAATGCCTGTTGTAGCTCGTGACTTTTTGAAGTGGGTATCATTTTGCCATGAAGAGTTCCAAAGGCTAGAACATCCTCTCTTTGTCCTCAATTCCAAGATTGATCCTCAGTGCTGATATTTTCTGTGCTTTGATCCCAAAAGATTAGCCAATGTGATCAGCAGAAACAAACCTGTTTCCCATTTCTTTTGGTCCACTGATAACCTAAATGAAGGCTGGCTCTCATGAAGCCCTGTGGATAAGACTCAACTATATGCATATGTTCTTCTACTTGCTTTGCCGTAGTCAACATGGGTATCAGCCTTTTCAGAAGATGCATGGATACTTATTTTGTACTCCATTTTGAGTAAAATGCATTTACCTCTTAAGGTTTGTTTATATCACCAACCTAAAGAGTCTATTTTTTTTTCTCCTCTTCTTGTTCATGAATCACTGAAAGGGAGAGCTTCATCCTTTGTCCTCTGACTGTGTGGGCTGCCTTCGGGATGACGCTGGGAGGTTCTGTGCCTCAGCCTTCAGTCATCTCAAACAGATGTCATGCCATGGAGGGTGATGAGCTTCCTGTACTCCAGAATGTTCCGGAAAAACAAAAGGGTAAGTCGTGACACACCAGAAAATAAAAGGCAGGCACATTTCTAAGGCGTGCTCTCAGTCAGTGGAACAGACCAGCTGGCCTGGCTCATGGGTAAGAGATGCTATTTGAGCTGTCAGTTCAGTTGCCAGGCCCCACATCTGTAGCCCTGGATGTGCCCACTTGTCTCTGATATCTGCATCTGTTCCTGGAACTCATTCAGGGGGAATAGCCCTCAGAATCAAGGTCCAGTAGGGAAAGATGGCCTTCAGTTTGTCCAACAGGGAGGTTTCTTGGGTGGCACCCTGAACCTCTTGGAGCCAAAAGTTCTGCTAGTAGAAGGGTTTTTCAGACCTTGACTGCTCTGAGGACTATTAAGGAAAGACCTGTGGTGTGTTTGAGGACTTCCGAGGGGTTTGGCCAGAGCTCAGTGCATGTGCAGGGCGGCAGAGGATGGGTACGAAAGGACGGGTAGGGCCCAGGTTTATATTCTATCAAAGGAGTTTGATTTCTGTACCTCCATCCATCAAATTTATGGTGACTTCAACTTTCTCAAGTCTTCTCTTTCCCCCCCCAGCTTTATTGAGGTAAAATTGACAAATAAAAATTGTACATATTCAAGGTATACAAGATGGTGCTTTGATATATGTATTCACTGTGAAATAATTGCCGTCATTAAGTGAATTAACACATCACTTGCCTCACATAGTTACCAAATCTCTTCTCTTTTTAGATTCTGCCAACTCATGTGTTCTTTTTGGTTGTGACCAATAATATTTTTATATCAATATTACCAGTGATTTTTCTCTTTCACCTTGGTGGCTGTTGTCAAGGTTCAGTGTAAGAACAGAAAGAACATCTTTTAACTGGAGCTGCTAACTGCTCTATTAGATGAACCTCAGTATCTCAGTGACTTGGTGTAGCAGTGGGGTGTTTTTCTCCCTCACTTCAAGGCCACTGCTCTCATCATTTTGTCCTTGGTCATTGCTTCTTTTAACGTCTTTCTCATCCCAACACCCTTTTCCGCCCTCACTCCCGGTTTGTGGTTTTGTCTGGTGCTGCCACGATGGGAGACAGCTTCTCTTCCAAGATGACTCTCTTTTAAGCAGTGGGTCAGGAACCCAGGCTTGCTCCATCTTGTGTTATCACCATCTCCATATATAGCTTCCAAGGTCATTGTGCTCGTTTGCATCGCACAACTGGAAAGGAAAGGAACATGAAGAAGCCTGGTAGAGAGGTTGGTTGAATCTCTTCGTTTTGGTCTAAGAATGATGTCCAACATTTCTGCTCACAATTCATTAGTGTAGGTCATGCCTAGCTACAAAGAAGGCTGGGAAACATATAGCTGATGGGTGCATAGGAGAAGAGAAAATAGCTTGGTGAGCAGCCAGCCAGTGTGCCTTACCACTATAGGTATTACAGGAAGAAGAGGATTTAATACAGAAAATCAGGTGCTAAAAAGAAATCACTGGAAAGGTTGAAGGTGCAGGGCAAGTAGGGGCTGCAATTTAACAGTTGGCTTTGAGGTCACTCCACTACCTACAACCTAGAAATCAAGAAACTGCATCTGCTACTACCATTGGTGTCATCCCCACATTCCCCATCCTGATACCAGATGATGGACTCTGGACTCTGCCACAAGCTCTCATCTCTGCTGGTGCTCACCTAGCCTACCCACAGTAAGCCTTTCACCTTTCAAATCTAATGTAAGTGGATCTTATTGACCGAATCTAAAATCACCCTGAACTGTATCAGAGGAGCCTGG